CCTCTCCGCCGCCGATTCATGCCTCGGCCGCTCCCGCTGCTCCCACCCCAACGTCTTCCCGCGGGGGAGCCCCCGACGGGACTTCCCTCCACGCAGAGTCCGAGCTGCCGGGCCGAACTGGGCCCCAGTGCTCCTGCGGTGCGGTTTTGGTGGGGAATCCGATGGGCACGCAAGGGTGTAGCTGTAGCACTGGCAGGGTGCCCGTGCTGCCTCACCTGACGGGACCGTGCAAGGAGTTTCAGTGCTGTAGCACAGGAGTAACCGCACGGACTAGTGATCCTTGGCGGGTCTCCAGTGGCACTGCTGACATCCATGTTGCCGTATGGTATCTGCTATTGTTCTGCGGCGACCTAGACTAAAGTTAGCATGCATTTATTTACCTATGCTGCACCCCCAAAGTGCTGAGGATAGTGTCACAGAGGCGAGGTGCTTCTCTGCTTTTAGGTACTAACAAACCTCCACTCTGCCTTAATTCCCAGCCATGGCCTGGATGTGCACTGGGGATCCTCAGGAAGAGGCAAATTCTGGAAGAGTACCCCTGCTTCCAGTGTAGGGACACGAAGGACTCGAAGCATCTTTCTGGGTCACTCCTGTCTCCTGCTAGCGGAAGCCCATAAACAAGAGTCCACCTACCCAATCTGCAAATGTCACTGTGCTGCATCTGGAGAGATGCTAGAAAAAGCATGCATTATTATCTTCTGACTCTGCCTACCCTCCTGACTAGCAAAGCAAGCAACATGGAAAAATGACAGAAAATGGCAGCTGCTCTGAGCTACAGTGCAAGCAGAGCATGTCCTAGGCTTGAATGGGAAATATGGCAAAAATCGGTGGCTTACAATTTCAAAAGAAAATTTTTTTATAGCAAAGAGTGGAATTTTGGGTTTGTAATCCCAAGGTAACTTCCTTTGGTTTGAAGTATGAGCTTCACAATACAAAGCGACCATGATTCCTTTCAGCATAAAACATGCACGTGCACAAATGCACATTAGCCATCTCTCTGCACTGAAGAATGCATTAACTTTCTTTTAAAAGAAGTACTAACTGTAGATGGGGTCACATCTCTGAGTTCAAAAAGTTACGGCTATTTTCCATATACCACAGTCTCTTCTAGCAATTCTGTATATATGCAGCATAACACAAGTCCCTACATCTTCCCAGACAGCATAGTTTCTTTTTTAATCCTCTCTCTGGGGGTTTCTAGACACCAATTACTACAAACCTCTTTCCTCCCGCCCCTGCCACAGCCTGATTCTGAAAGAAAATGACTTCAGGAGGTATTTCAGGTACTCAGCTCCTCTCAGCATCTGGCCCTTGCTCAGTTCTGTAGTAAATTTTTGAAGTATGTTTTCCTTTTTTCTTCTTTTTACTACCAAGAGGAGCATGTGGCCCATAGAAAGGAGTGAGGCTCTACCATAGGGCTGGAGGCAGGAAAAAAGAGCACTAGCTACTTTGCTCAGTAGCTTCATAGCTTCAGAAACAGTGCCTCCCCTTCATGGTAATGGAATATTCCCCCCAAACCTCCTCCTCCTTGTGGAATGGAAGCCAAGAGTTAAAGAGCTGCAGCTCTGAATGGAGAAGTTTGGGCAAAGTTCCTGGGCTTACAGCACACACACACATGCACCATCCAAACCCACTGTTTCAAATCTAACTGGCTGGAAGGGGAGATAATGGTGAATCCTGCATTGAGAATTAACTTTAAGGCAGCATTTAAATGTTCTCTCTCTGCTGCTGCTGCAGGATTTTGCAGTGAGTGCATTATATGCTTAAAAATATTTCCACTTCTTGAAACCTTCCTCTACTAGGCACGTTGCCACATCTTAACAAACAAACAAAACTATAAAATCTTCTCCAAAATGTAAACATTCACAGCCCAGACATGACTGAAATGAAGACAGAAAAACTTTCAATCCCAGACTAGCATGGATGGATCAGATGCTACTTCCACTCAGATCAATGACAAAAATCTTATGTGTGACAAAAATAGCACACCTTATGCAAGTGTGTGTTGCATGAGATAGACAAATATGTACTCCAACTTACATAGGCAGGCATTCATTTTATAGATACAAAATTCCACATAATAAAGTGAGACACAAATACGCAGACACACATACAGATCTCATAGTATCTAGAACAAAAGAAGGTGTGCTTCCTAAAACAATGCATGGAACAGCAAAGCATAAGCCATCTCATAAATCTCTCTGTGTGGAACATGTTGGGTCCTGAAGAGAAAAGAGCTGGAATTTGCAGGGCAGACCGCAAAAACCAAAGAGAAAAAAAAAACACCCATGAGAGAATAGCTGGGGAGGATAAAAGGGGAGGGGTGGGACTGGGACAAGGGGAATAGAGTTTCAAAGGAAAAAGAGAGAAAAAAGAGGGTGAGAGAGAGAGAGAGGTGGGAGACAGGGGCAGAGAAATCAAGATATGCACAGAGGAACCATGAAAAACACACAGGGAAAAGAAAGGGAAGCAAGGAAGAGAGGGGAGGAGCTGGGAATAACAAACAGCAGGCAGAGAAAAGAGTAAGAAGGGAACTATTTATATATGAGAGGACATATTTGACAATCAGTTCTGAAGCAGAACTGTTTTCAGTAAGTTCTGCTTGGAGAAGATTTTTTCAATGGCAGACTTATTCCTCCAGAAATTGAAAATAGCACATATTCCTTCCCAGATTAAAAAAAAAAATACTACAGATTGGGTATAATAGGTGTAAATTAAAACCTTATTATTATACCCTTCTGGGTATCATATATGATGATGTACTTTTGTATTGGTTTGTTTGATGAAGTATGAATGTATGTTCTCCCTAACACATGAAGAAAGCCCACTATAGGAAGAAGAGAAACTCAGAGAGAATTAATAAGAGATAAGTGGGTAGAATCTGAGGAAACTCAAAAGTGCACAGGGACTAAGAGGCAGCACAGAATAGGGTAAAAGACCAGATCCTACAGCTTCACGGTCTCTCTGCACTGGATCTTGGTAGTCATTAGCATCCAGTCCTGCATTTGTTTGTTTATTTTTTAATCTTTATCGCAGATAATGAGATTTTCTACAGAAAAGGAGGGGCTTCTTGTGGGTTTCAGCTCCCTTGAAAGAAGCAGCATGTTTCTGCTTACAGAGCTGACTGTTCTCCACTTTATTCCTCCTCTGCCATCCCTCAGTTCTGCTTAGAGCACTAAGTTTCCTGAGCTTTAATGGAAACAAATCTAAACCAGAGAGGGAAAAACAATCTGTGTTAGCTGAATGTGCACCCACCTGTATTTGTAATGACCATTACTATTAAGTATGTGTGTCGTTCTCCAGGATGAATAAACAGCTAGACCGGTATCTCTCTGCTGGAGCCTACAATCTAAATGTCTGTGTATCTATCTATTTTCTATTAGTCTATCAGTCTGTTGGTCTGCTTATATAATCCAACCATTTTGACATACGCATCACACAAATTGATTGCTGCTGTTCATATTAGTAATACCTAGAAAGAAGCCCAGCCATTTAAGCTCTAGCCCAGGATTTTGAGAAAACTGTGGGAGGAAAGCAGCTGCCTGGGAATCCATGCCTGCTTTTACAATAGGCCCAGTTCCATGCTGGGGCTGGGCACTCTGGGTGTATTTAGTCAATTCTGTGCAGACCTGCAGTCCAGCTGGGTGTGTTCAATACCAGCTGCTGGCTCTTTACCTGAATGCCCTGACCTAGTGAATTAATTCAAAGTTTGCTGGGACGTCTGACACTGCGGGGATTCTGCAGTTGCAAAAGGGGGAAAGAACAAAAAAACCCCTGAGTCCAACAGTTATGGATAAGTGACAGAAAGATGTATATTTGTCTTGTGCATGCCATTACTGAAGCCTTAGAAACTCAAAGAAAGTATGAATGTAGAGGTATCTCCCTTATAAATACCATCTTTTCCTACTTAAGCTGCTCAGTCTCCTCCTTAAAGGCCCTGTAGGCACTCACTCCTTAACAGGAATTATAGCTTTGATTTTATCTGCCAAACCTTCTCTGTATTCCATCAAGCACTTGAGACTAGACTTTTCTACCTGTTCATCCATTTTGATTCATGTTCCAAATTCCACTCACTTCCTAAGTTTTCTTTTTTTTTGGAAGTATGTGGTGTCCCTGATGTTTGAACAAGCCTAGGATTTCTGTTTTCTGCTGGATTTCTAAACAATAGAAGTTACAAATGCTTGCTAGAATAACAGACAAGGTACACTGCGCTTTTGTCAGTATTGTGTATTTGACTTGGAAGGAAGGAGGGTTGGAAAAAACTGCTATTTTGCCTGTGTTTTGCTGCTTCAATAAGAATTTGGAAGTATTTTGTACTTAGAACAGATTTGTACTTAGATTCAGGTGATTGTTGCTAATCTGAAGGATGACTCCAGAAATCTACCTAAGATTTCAAAAAGCTCCATTTTCTATTGCATGCTTACGCTCAAGCAGAGCAAATAGACCAGTAGTTATGTAGATGGGAAGGATGGTTATTTTTTTCCTAAATGCTTTGGGATGTATGCTGCCATTTGTAAGGTGAATCCAAAGTGAAACACTTTCAAGAAGATGACTGTGGAATGGAGCTGGGACTTTTCGTTGATGGCTGTGAAGAGGATCTGTAGGACAACATAAGGCATATACTGACTTTATGTTTCTTTTGGCTCCTATGCTGGATAGAGCTGCTT